GCTGTTTGGTTGGGCTTCTTGAGCCTCTTCTTATTGGATTTGCCACCATGCAACAAACTTTTGAGCAGAAGCTTGACCTGTCAGAAACACTTTACCAGATAACTTCAAGGTTAACTGTCCCTTACTGAGGAAATTGAATTGTTTAGCGATTATACTTCAAGTTCCCTAAAATTTTCAGTATAGGGCTGCAATCTTGTTTTTTCTCTTTGTATTTTCTATTGAATCCTGTCATTGCGGTATACTGATATCTTGAGCCTCCAAATTGTTGTCTGAGTGAAGGTTTGACAGCTTGCGGATTACACCAAGGGCACTGGACATTCTTGCTAGGGGTCCTCCAGTTTGTGGAGATCTTGCAGTGTCGTTATCTCAAGCAGGTCCTCAGTTTACGCAGGTGAGTGGAAGTTCGCTTGTTCACTTTAATCGGATTTGCTTGTTTTCCCATCTAATGCTTCACCATATTGCCTAAAAAACTCAGGTCTTGCGCTGTATCTATGCTATCAAAGCTCTTCGTTTTTCAACAGCATTGTCTGTTCTCAAAGATGAGTTCTTGCGGTCCAGAGATTATCCTAAATGTCCTCCAACGTCACATTTGTTCCACCGGTTTCGACAATTGGGATATGCATGTATAAGGTACACAAAGATTAGATGTTCAATAGTAGTGCACTCAGCAACTCATGATTTCTTTTTGTTTTGGGACCTCATTCTTGCATATGACTGTCTGTGTTATCTATTTAATTATTTGGTTGGCTTGCTTTGTATAATCACACGTGGGTTGTTAAATGTAAGCTTATGATGTTCGTTATTTTGGAGATTTCAGATTTGTCTGAGTGGAATAATGACAGCCTGCTATATGTTGCAATTTCTATTGATTGTTACCTTGGTGATGGAGCATTTTCTATGAATAGTCATTTGATTGGATTACAATTAATTGAGATAATAGAAGCTTCTGATGATTAGTCTGATCTTTTGTGTATCCAGACTTGCCCCTTGTTGGAGAGGATGTGAAAAAAGGGGAGGAAAATTGAGGGTTAATGTCAGAAAGTTACATATTTGGTTATTTGGGAGTATGGGGGAGCTTACACCTGTTTTTCACCTCCCATCCCCTTTTGCCCATAAATTTTCGTTACAAACCACACCCAATTTCCCACTTCCTAATGTCCAGAAACAATTCCGTACCCAAATCTATGCTGATGTGAGCATGTTTGCGAATTTGGATTCTTTTGAGTTCTGATGCTTGATGAAGTTGTGCTTGTCTTATATAGTGATGGGTCCAAGTTATTTTTAAATTTTGTGATATTAACTAAATTCCAAATTTCAGATACGGTCAATTCGATAGCGCCAAAGAAACTTTTGAAGTCATTGCAGACTATGAAAGCTTGCTAGATTTATTCATATGCCACCTTAACCCTAGTGCTATGCGGCGTCTTGCCCAAAAACTGGAAGAAGAAAGTGTGGATCCAGAGTTGAGGCGATACTGTGAAAGGATTTTGAGAGTTAGGTCTACCGGATGGACACAAGGCATTTTCGCAAACTTTGCTGCTGAGAGCATGGTTCCGAAAGGACCCGAATGGGGTGGTGGCAACTGGGAAATCAAGACTCCTACTAACTTGAAGAGCATTCCTCAGTGGGAGCTTGCTGGAGAAGTGATGCCATATATGAGGACCGACGAGGGAACAATCCCTCACATTATCGTTGATCATATTGGTGTTTATCTAGGTTCCATTAAAGGAAGAGGAAACGTTGTGGAAGTGAGAGAAGATAGCTTAGTCAAAGCTCTTATCCCTTCAGCTGACAATAAGCTGAACAATGGAATTCCAGATTCCTTAGCCAAATCCATCTCTGGAAATGCAAAGGGACTAACCGGTACTAATCCGAATGGTGGTTCCTTTAACGGCCTGGAAGCTCTGTCAAGGCAAAATGCAGCTGGTACATCATCTGCTGAACAAGCCAAAGCTGAAGAGGAATTCAAGAAGACGATGTATGGTGGTGCAGCTGGTGATGGTAGCAGCAGTGATGAAGAAGGAGCTTCGAAAACCAAGAAGATCCAAATTAGGATAAGAGATAAACCAATTTCTTCTGCCACAGTAGATGTCAATAAAATCAAAGAAGCCACTAAACAGCTTAAACTTGGTGAAGCATTATTAGGCCCTACGCCAAGGGCAAGGTCGTCAGGTGGCTCTCAGGACCTTGGCCAGATCTTATCACAGCCTCCTCCTTCAGCTGCAGCAGCAGTTGGAGTTTCAGCACCTATGGATTTGTTCGGTCCAGTTTCCTTTATCCAACCAGCATCACAACAACCAGCTCCTGTGGTTGGAGGTGCTGCAATTCCAGCACCTCGACCCATCCCAGAAGACTTCTTTGAAAACACGATTTCTTCCGTTCAAGTTGCAAAGACCCTGCCCCCTCCAGGTACCTTCCTTTCAAAGATGGATCAAAGAACAGAAGGTGATGCGAAAATGGCACCTACTCCAATTGGTGCTCCTGTAGCTGCTGATATTGGCCTTCCTGGCGGCGGTGTTCCTCCTCCAGCCGCTCAACAACAAGCGTTCCCTATTGATTCATTTGGACTTCCTGATGGCGGTGTGCCACCTCAAGTCTCTGCTCAGGCATCCATCCTACCACAAGCTACTGGACAGGCTGCTTTCCCCACTCAGCCCCACATTGTTCAGCCTTCTCAGCCACCAATCTCTTCACAGCCTCTTGATCTCAGTGTGCTTGGAGTTCCAAATACTGATGACCCTGGGAAATCTCCAGGACCTCCTCCACCATCATCTGTGCGTCCTGGACAGGTGAAATGCTTTTAGTCTGTTGGGTGTGCTTGTTATAGCTTTTGCTTGAAAAGATGAGTGGGTTTCTTCCCTTTTTTTTTTTTTTTTTTGTAGGTATAGGGAAAATATGTTTGGTCAGGGACTCGGGGGATTTTTTTATAGGAAAATAGTTGAAGTGACGCAAATGAAATAGTATTTAGCAATAAAACAATTTCCGTATTATAGCACGTTTAATAATTAAGAAATGCATGAATTTCCGTATTATGGGAAAGAATATATATTTTCAAAAGTTGGAATTGTGGGGGAGCTTTGCATTTCGAATTCCAATTTGAAATCTAACCTTGTTGGAGTTTTGCTGCTTCTTTGGCTTGTTTGATTATAGGTTCCCCGTGGAGCAGCTGCTTCTATGTGTTTCAAGACTGGGCTTGCTCACCTCGAGCAGAATCAGCTTCCTGATGCATTGTCATGCTTTGACGAAGCTTTCTTGGCTTTGGCCAAGGATTTCTCTCGTGGAGCTGATGTCAAAGCCCAAGCAACTATCTGCGCTCAGTATAAGATAGCAGTTACGCTGCTTCAGGTAATTGGAAGCTAAAACATTACACCACCACTACTACTAAAATTGGAATACCTTCTATTAGGCTACATCAAATCGTAGATTTTGCGGTCGGTCATCCTCTTTGAACTGAGATAAGATTGACTGATGTTTCCATAGTTGAAATCTGTACTCTGGTTGCCGTCAGTTCACTGATACAGCTGCGAGCAACTACTAACTTCAGTTTGCACTCCGTTTTAGCTTTTAAGCCATCCTAGTTAAGTTATGTTTTAGCCAAAACAAACACTCGCTACGATTTTTCCCGTGATGTCATCCGTTTTGCTCCATTCCAAGATTAAAAAGAATGCTGACAAACAATCATTTATTTGTTGGGAACAGGAAATCACACGGCTGCAGAAGGTACAAGGACCAAACGTGCTGAGTGCAAAGGACGAAATGGCTAGGCTCGCACGACACCTGGGCTCCCTGCCTCTTCTTGCAAAGCACCGAATAAACTGCATACGAACGGCGATCAAGAGGAACATGGAAGTCCAGAATTTCGCCTACGCAAAACAGATGCTGGAGCTCCTGCTCTCGAAAGCTCCCCAGGCCAAGCAAGACGAACTGAGGAGCCTCGTCGACATGTGTGTCCAGAGGGGCTCATCCGACAAGTCCATCGACCCTCTCGAAGATCCTTCCCAGTTCTGCGCTGCCACTCTAGGCCGTCTTTCGACAATCGGGTATGATGTCTGTGATCTTTGTGGTGCCAAATTCTCCGCGCTCTCTTCTCCAGGATGCATTATCTGCGGCATGGGCAGCATCAAGAGATCGGACGCTGTTGCGGGGCCCGTTCCCTCGCCATTTGGCTAAGAATTCGACCTCTGGCAGGCATCATTGTCTCATCCGCTGACCTTTAGGTCATCTTTCAGGCAAATCTCCTGCTCCCAAAGCAGGAGCGAGCTGCCAACCCCGCTTTGTTGGGTGTACATGTTATCATTCATTCGGTTTGTTGTAATTCTTCCTCGCCGTTTTCTCTATATATCTTGATATGATCATTTCCTCTGCGCCATCCCATCCTATTCGTGCGATCATCGGGCGACCCCTGGCATTGTAATTGAGATAGCAATTTTGCTGTTGATTGTTGAATGTATGCCTTTGGGTTTGTGCTTTCCTTGTAGGCTTTAGAGTTGCATGTATAAAATGTACTATACATAAGATAGTTTGTTCTTCCTGTATCTTACTGACAAGGGGCTGCTCTGGTGATTTACTTGTGAGGGCTATTAGTGCTGGATTTGTGTTTTATGCCTGTGATGTGGATGGCTGCACACACGTGGTTTTTGCGGTTTTGGTGTTTCTTGAAAGTTGTGTTCTGCGGATTTTCTTGTTCTTTTGGGTCGTTTGGTCCATTATTATTTTGCCATTACATCTCAACATTATCCGTCTCTCTTCTTTCATTATAAGTACAAAACCTAGGAAATGCAAGAAGCAAAAACAAGGGTACTACGAGAGGGTCTTTCTGGCCATTAAACGGACTATCTTGTTACGATCTCTATCAATGCAATATCAATAATTTCTTATGCTCAACTTGTAGCAACAAGGTACATAAAAATATAGAAATGTAATGCTAAACACTTGTAGGAAATATTTTATTCACTTGAGAGAGTGTTTAAACAGTCACCAACCAAACCCTTTTTCTCACAATGAAACCCCAAAACCAATCAGCCCATTGCCCCATTTCCATTCTTTCCAAGTCCCTCATGTTTTCATTTCTTTTTCTTTCCTTGCTTAGAGAAACAAAACAGTGGAACAAAAAAAAAATACTAATCAAAAACCAAAAATACTTTGCAAAACATTAGAAACCCATTATAGAATAATCACAACCAACCCACAAGAAGCCCAACCCAAAGAGAAAGAAACCAAAAACCAAGCCCATCTTTTTTTATATCTAGTATCCATTTATTTTCCCCTGTACCCAATTCCCTATCAAAAACCATTATTCCTCTGCAGAAGAAACCTGAAGCTGAAATCATAAGGCATGACCTGAACCAAATGTGACAAAGGCTCTCTCCCCTTTCTTCCAATGCACCTCACTGCTTCATCCCTCAGCCCATTGGGCAGCTGCAGGCAAACCCAGTCCACCAACGAGTCCATGTCCTTGGCAAAGTCCAGCAGATACCAGTCCAGTAGCTTTGGTATCATCAGCTTCTTCTCTGTCTTTGATATCCCAACTGCTGCCCACAGGTAGTCTCTCTTTGCTGCCTCTAGTTCCTCTTCCACGCCTGATGCCGTGTATACCCGCACCTGCATTTGTTTGGTGGGTTTGATAAGAATGCTTGTCGTCGAATAGTACTCGCTATAGCTTGCTTGTGTTACAAGTTTTGTGCATGTTCCTTTTCTTCGAGAGAGTGAAAAAGGTACTTACAGCAGGGGAGGACCAGCTTCCACAGGAGAGTGCAAAGGTGACCAAAGGTTCCGACCACTCTAATCCGAAGCTGTTTCGTGCCTTCATCTCTTCGTTCTTCGACACCTTTTCGCATGTCTACATTGGCAGATTGGTAATTAGTAATTGCCCCTCTTTTCTCCTTTGAGCTGGATATGATGAGAACTTACAAATTTCAAGTGGTAAGGAAGCCGCAATATGAAATGTTCAATTGTGATGGCATTGAGCAGACGACCCCCCACTGTTATCGTTGCCTGCGATTAGTTCGCAATTTAATCACGACTTTGAGTCCAAACCCACTGTCTTAAACATGATCAACTTGACTGATGTGATGATGTAGTTAGTTACCTTTTGCATTAGTGCCACAACCATTTCAGGCGTCTCAGGCACCCCATGCTCCAAAACGGCCTGCAAATCAGAGAAGTCAAAATAAGAACTTATTCGTCATAATTCAATAGTTAGTATCCTAACAAGGAATTAGAAAGACTCACATTCATCATACAAGAGTTGTATATGTTTATCCAGAAAGCAAGCTTTTGCTGGTGAGTAAGCCTTTCCAAATTCACACTCCCAAGTTTCTCCATCAGAAACCTAAAAAGCAAGCAAGCATTTGATCATGTCTCTGAACAGTCGTTCAATTCATTGAACTCAACCCTATCTGATTAACATGCTGAACATCACGGGCTGAAACCATTGGCAAGCCGATCTCAGCTATTGGATGTTAAGAGGTGACATATTTGTAAGTATTGCAAATGTGACAATGTCAGCCCTTGTTGATACTCACCCCCTTCAGCATGGCAGAACTTGACTGGATTTTTAACATAAACAAAGATGGATTTCTGATTAGAGACATACTTCAGTCTATGTAACAAGAACACAACTGTTGTTGCCCGGTCGAGATCGATTGAGCTAGCTTCAATTGCACACATATCTCTGTATGGACCAACAGTGTTATCTCTACTACTTTCACCGTGGTAATAAGCGTCCCAACCACATTCACTTTCTAGACTGGTGACCATGTTTGCCGCTGCCTTGTCTTTCGATGTTCTCATCCTCATGAAAATGGTGGATAGGCACTTCACCATATCCTCGGATAGCTTGTTAGCTTCAAGAACCTCATCCAAGAAACCAGAAGATGAAGTCGCTTCTTCTTCTGCTAACTTGCATTCCACCTTATGGAAACAAAACAGAACTAACAATGAGCTTGCATAATGAAGGTTTGTTTACCAATGAGCTTCACCCAATTGAAAGCTAGGAGAATTTTTGTGTTGGCTTAAAACAAACAGTATATGCCTACCATTGACTTTGAGGGAACAACTGAGCCTTTATCTTCTGATATCCGCCTGTTATCGAACAGTCTCTTACGAGGGGCTGCAGCTTTGCCATTTCTCTTCTCAGGAGTTTGTTTCTCCTTCGATGAATTACTCCATGACCGATTCTCCTTCCCTCTTTCGTCATATGGAGAGGATGAAATCACCTTGTTAGAGCCTTGCCCTCTTTGTCTTGATTGATCACCTATTACTGGACTCTCATTTGACAAGAGCTTTCTACTTGAGGTACTTCTAGCAAGAGAAGGCTGCTGCTGTTGTTTAGCTGCTGATCCAAATGGTGATGAATTGATGAGTTCGTGGGTCGACGAGACTGACTTTGATCTCGAATGTCTTGCTGGTGTTCTTGTACTAGAAGAAGAACAACAAGGTGGTTGCTGCTGTTGTTGCTGATCAGAAACTCCATCATTATTGCAGTTCTTAGAGGAGTTGCTGTTGTTGTAGACAGCTTCTTGGTAGAGGCCTTGTCTAAAGTTCACAACTTGTTCTTCTAGCCTAACTACTTCTTCTTCTAGGACAGCCACTTCAGCAAGCAGCTCCAATGTCTGAAAGAAGGAGGAAAAACCAATGTTTGATCTCAGCTGCAATTTTCATAATCAAATTTTGGAAGGAAAGAGTTGAGATACTGACATAAGGAGGGAGATAAGGAGGCAAGCGAGGGAGAGCTCCAAGAGGTCTAGTGAAAGCTCTCTCCAATGCTCTGTGTACATTCTCCTCGTGTCTAAGCTTCTTCTTTAACTTATCAACCTGCAAAAAAACTCAAATTGGAGAACTCTTTGGGGGAATAACTGAACTTGAAACTTGGAAGTTAGGAATTTGATTCCTTTTTTTACTTACATCTTCTAGCAATGCCAATTTCCTTTCCCTGTTCAATTTACGCCTGTTGGTAATGGCTGCTGATTTCAGAGCAGCAATTGCTCTTATTCCTCCTCCGTGGCTCTGCATTTTCTCCTTCTATGCCAATTTTCAACATGGGTGTCAGTAATCTGACTATAAGGGAATGAAGCATTAAATCCAGCGTGGAATTGCAGGAAACATTAATGTAAAAAGCATATTCTTTCCTTGAGAAGAGTGGTAAAAGGAAAAGGAAGCCCCAATGGAGGATTGGATCTAAAGATCAATCCTTTCTCAGGTTTTAAAGTAAAAGGAACCAACCCCTTCATTCCTTCACTCTTTATCAAAAGTGGGCATTGCAGAAAATCAAAGGAACCCATCTCACAAAATTTCCCCAGAAACCAATCGATCACTTAGCAAACGGAAAACAGAGCAAGAAGAGAATGACAAAGAAAGAAAGAAAAAAGTGACAATGGAACAGGGCAAGAACAGTTCATTGCTTACTTTGTGGTTCTTATTGTTATTCTCATTGGTATTATCAGGGTGCAACGGAGCTTTCAAGCCCTGAAGAGCAGAGCGAACTCTCGTGTTCATCTTCTTCCTTCCTTCCTTCCTTCCCCGACTGATCAATCCAAATTTTCGAATCAATTACTTATTGCAGAAACCCTGGAATCGGAGGTCAAGAGTAAGAAATGACAGCGGTCTCTAATTATCAGAAGAAAACAAAAATGGCGAGGGAAATGAAGAGAGGGCAAAGGGAGGCAGCAGAGCAGCAGCAGCAGGAGAGAAAAGGAAAAAGAGATTGGCGGTAAGTAAGTAACCTCGGTATTTACAAAGAGCGGGAAACTTATAGAACCCCAAAAATAAAAGAAATTAAAACTGATTAAGAAAAGAAAATCACCACCGCAGAAACAAATAGGCTTTCTAGTTCCTCCACAGCCAGCAAGGTCTGTTTTGCTCTCACTCTTTGTTTATTCAAACTCGATTACTTTGCGGTTTAAAACGAACCCAATTGAAGAAGACGAAGAAGGAGATAGAGAAAGGATCTTTCTTTGTTAAACAAATGGAAGAATCTCGAGCTGCGTGAAGAGACAAGCTTAAGAAGAAAGCAAAAAAAAAAAATTAAAAAAAGGGGGTAAAACAGAGTGTGGAAGAGTGAGACAGAGACAGCAGCGAAAAGGGAGAAAAACGACGAGGAATCGAGGCTAGAGGAAGGCTGAGAGAGAGCAACGAGAGTTTGATTTACAATCGAAACATATATAGTAATCAATTGAACTCGCTGGCTCCCCATTTCTGTCTTCACTCGGGGGATTTTTTTTTAAAACAGAGAGATGCCAAACTTACTTGAAAATGGCAATGGTGCGAGGGTTGTACTGGGTTTTTGGAGTTTTGGAACTTTGATGATGGGTCAAAATGGGGAATCTGTAAGAGAAGCTTTCGTGCTATTAGCTTATTTTCATGGCTCGTTTCTGTGAATCCGCTAGCTACCAGAAGGAAGGGAAGAAAGAAATGGGGAGTGGAAGTGGTTTGATAGTGGAAAATGGCCAGGGCAGGGGAGTTTTTACTTTTTAGTATAAAGCTACTGTTTTTGCATTCTGGGGTTTACTAGTCTGTGGGCGGGCGCACGGTAAGACTCGGTGCACCGCCTTTTACCGTCGCCGTTCAGCTTCGCCGGACGGGGAAAGGCTTGCCGGAGTTCAACGGTGAAACTGTGGTCTTCTTTAGTTATCTCGTACAGCACATGCCACGTATATATAAAGCTGAGTGTACTTTTAGGGGTTAAGATCAGGTGACTAAGGGGTACCCTTAGTCACTTGGCTAAGTTAATCTCAGCCTTCCATGCTCATTAAAATCCTAAGGTTATAATTAATTTATTTTGAGGAAGGACAACATGGTAATTATACATTTTAATTTTGTAAAAAAAAAAAAAAGAGTCCTTCCCTCACCTGTTTGTCGCACGCGGAGATGAATCCACAGAGACGGCGGCGGCCATGGACGACGGCGGCGAAGGACGACGGTGGCCAGGGACGACGACGGTGAAGGACGACGGCGGGTCGATGGCGTTCTGTGTTCGGGGGAGAGAGAGAGAGGCGGAGGTAGAGGAGAAGAGAGAGAGGCGATGGCGACCGTAGAGGAGAGAGAGCGGCGGCGGTAGAGGAGAAGAGAGAGAGACGGCGGTGGCGGCGAGGAACAACGACGACGACGGCGAGGAACGACGGCGGCGGCGAGGAACAACGACGACAAGAGAAGACGAGAGGGACGACGACCGTGGAGGAGAGAGAGGCAGCGGCGGTTGAGGAGGAGAGAGACACCGACAT